CCAAGTAAAATACTGTATGCGATTTTTTACAATAAAACATAGTATTTTTATACAAGTACACGTAGTATAAATTTAAAAGCATAAATCAAAGTATAAATTCACAAAGCATAAATTCATAAGTAACATACAATTTTGTACCAACTCTATGTAATTATTTTTTCAGAGGGCAATTTCGAGAATCATGATACTATGACTTACATATAGCACATTGCTGCTTATTTTTCTTTACTAATTCTGATGCTGATATTTTTTCCTGATTAATCGATACAGCACTCTTGATATCAAGATTCTCAATGGTTATAAGTATCTTTTGTTTGCAGGGTGGCCTCTACCTTTGTGTTGAAGTGGATTTGAAATTGTAGAACTATTGATATTTTTCTGTTCAGATAGCTCAGTGCTTTGCATTGAAACAATTTGATCATTGATAAATCGTTGCAGAAGACCTTCTAAAGCACCGTTAGAACCATTCGTGATCGCTATATCTAAAGCTTTCTTACAAAGTCCAAGGCCACAACTATAAGAAACCTTCTTTGAATCCAATTTGACAGCATCTCTATTATTAATTTCATGCCCATGAATCTTTTCTAACGCTTGAAATGTTCTAGTTAAAACCAGTTTATTATCATTTTGTATTACTTGAACAAAAGATTCTTGACTTTCATCAAATGATGTCAAACCTTCTTCAGAGTACCAACGGGAAGGTATTAATTTTATATTAAAGAATGTATTTTTTGATTGAATCATCACAGCAAAAAAATACTGACAAACGAATTCAGAATATACTAAGTAGAGATATGTGCAGTAGTGTGAACCATTATTAAGCAATATCACAAATTGTGAATAATTTGTTGTGCTTTGGATGTGTTGAACTTTTCAAATTTCATTCACACTGCCTCCAGTACAATCTTCTAAAGCCATATCTAATAATATCTGCGGCTTTTCATAATCCTCTTCTATGAATCCTATATCATAATTCTGTTTCTATCAAATAATATAATTTTTAGTTATAGCACAAGAAAAAAAACTAATAAATCTAAACCTAAAAAAGCATATACCTGATTTGTACTATTAAGTTTACTGGAATGTAGCGAATATCTATACAAAAGGCTTTCTAACATTTGCTTTCATTGCAATGCTAATGAATTTTGCGTGAGATACTTCTTATACGTATTATCAACGCTTTTAAAGATCTTATCAGAAACATGAGAAAGACCGGTTGTTGGATTCATATTTCTAAATTTCTGAAAACTTGCATATTTTGCTTCATCCTTAAGCCATAATTCAATCTTAATTTGAAGCTGGCATAGAGAATTTTCAGAGTTTGCCTCTAATTTAATAACCCAGTTTATGCTTTCAACACGTTGAGTTGAATGCGTATTTGCTGAAAAACACCGTTTTGTAAATACATGGGCCCAACATTCTTTAGTCGAATACAACACTCTATCACAATATTCTTGAACTTCTGGATATTTGTTCATCAGTTCCATCCAGTGATGATCGAAATCAGAAATTACTAGTGAATTTCGCAATACGTAAAAATCAGAAATAAATCTGTCCCATTTATTTTAAAGCCTTAGTAAATGTATTTAAAAATCAAAAAAAAAAAAAAAAAAATTGAATGGTTTATAGTTAAAATAATAAGTTTGAAACTAAATATTATGATGTTAAAAAATGTTATCTTTTTTTGACCTTTTTTACCAAATTTTGCCGAATATGAAATGTGCAATGCCGAACTATAGTCTCAGGATATTGATTAGATATAGCTACTTGCATTGCTGGATCTGCATCGGTAAAAATCAATTTTGGCTGAAGATTTCCAGTAGCCAGTTTCGTTTGTTCCAAAATCTATTTGTAAGTTAATACGGTCTCGTCACAAACTACAGCTGTAGCAGCAATGCGACTTCATTGATCTGAGTCAATTACAATAAAAACGCTTAGAGGCATCATATATTTATTTGTTTTGCATGTATTATCATTGATAACAACATCATAGAATCGAGTCCACAGACTTTTCTGTTCAGGCGACATCCAAAAAATCTTAGAAAGCCTGTTGTCAATACTCTCAAAATCGATCTTGAAATACCAGTCTGGATTCTCTTGTTGTAACTTTGATAGATGTTCATACAAGGTTGTAGCATCGTTTTTAACTTGTGCGTCAACTTTAAATTTATGGATCATTTTGTAAAGATCTTTACTATATATTTCTTGGTTGGGATACTTATTTCTTAATATCCGCTTCAGAACACTTGCTTCTAAATGACATTCTTGGACATAAAACTAAATCTTTTCTCTAATATTTGCAGGTACCTTTCGTGATGAGGGCAAAAATTGTTGATATGATTCACTATTTAATAATATATGATTATAGTTTTCAACAAATTTGTTAACAAAGACACGATTTTCGTATTTTTGATAAGCAGTGTTCAGCATAAAGCCACAATTTATGCAAGCTGATTCCCGTTCTCGATTTTTAGTAGAATCTAAATTTTTTTTGGGCTGGTATTTATCACCATGCCGACACTTATATGTTTTTCGAGTGCAAATGTTGTTTTCCTTCTTAACTCGGACTATTTTCATTTCAAAACCCATTCGGGTTAAATAATGCTTTAAGCATCATTCAAGAACTTCAAAAAAAGAGAAGGACTGCCCAGTATAGATATCTTTTAACGAACTATCTTCAGCCTCATCTTCAGAACTATCATCAGGCTCACCTTCAGAACTATCATCAGGTTCACCTTCAGAACTATCACCGAGCTTATCTTCAGAACTATTATTAGGCTCATCTTTAGAACTATCATATTTAGACACAACGTTTTCAATATTTTCAATGACGGACAAGGCATCACGATTATTTTCAGAATCATCACCTTTAGATACCTCAATATTTTTATTTACAGTCAAAGTATCAGCCTTATTTTTTGAATCACAACTTTCATATATACCAGCTTTATTATTAACATTTTCCAGTACAGGTAGTTTATCAGTCATATACTCAACAGAGAGTATAGCAAAAGCAGCATCGTTCTCAGTGCAAGATGATATTTCGTAATCCATAAGCATTCGTCAAACAGAAGAAAAGCGCGAAACCTAAAACAAATATAACAAAAGAGCAATTAAAAATTTGAGAAGTATGATACTACGTATTTAGCCAAAGAGTCATTTGAACTTACCCTATTTCAGTCTTTTTTTCATGATTAAACTGATACTGTATTAACGGCTAAAGTATGTAAAGAAAAAATGCGTAAATCTAAAAAAAAAACAAGTGATAAAATACATAATAAAAATTTTAACAGATATGCTAAAATATATTTAACAAAGTCTACTTATACCTGTCTATCTTCTCTTTACAAATTTAGCCTTCTTTATAATCACTTTACGTTTTTCGTATCACTTTTTCGCAATATCAGAAATTTGAATGAAGGTATGTATGTAAAGAAAAAACTTGTAGAACCTAAATAAAAAACGTTCCTTGTTAATAAAAACAGCAGAGAATGCTATTATATTTCGATTAAAGTTTTTATTGCTTCCCGCACCCACCTTTTTTGGTATTTGTTTATTTGTACTAACAAAAGTAGAAAAGGTTCAATCATTACTGTGATCGAACCCTTATTTATTTATTTATCATTATTCATCACTAACCTGATCATTAGTATAACTGATTTGTGTAATAATATCTAATAATAAATACGTAATAAAATATTAGGTGGATACTAATAACCCCTAGTAAAAACATTATTTATACTTTAAAAGAAGTATAATATTTTCTACAGATACTGAAATATATAGTGAAAACAATTAACTCAATACAAGTTAAACCCGATTTAACTCACTTTATTTAACAATACTGTAATTGAAGTTGCATTTTTTTTAACCAAGAATTCAATATATAGTGTTTTGGAATTTTTTTTGCTTGCTTTATTAATATTTACCAAGATCATTATTTACAATTATACAATCAGATAAGATTAGATAATTGCGATTAATGTGGTAATTTTTTTCTGATAGTTTCTTGTCGAATTCTTGTGATATTAAACGATTTACAGCTGTTTTTATAAATTCTGAGACATATAAAAATTTGCCGAATGATTTTTCGGCCGATTTGATTAAGTTATTGATTTTGGCAATGATCAGTGTATATATTTATATGTAAAATAATTTTATCATTATGTATAAGGTAGATGTGCGATGCTATCGCACTAAAATCAGGAACATAGACAACGTTATTTATAATTATATATGCCAATTCTTACATTATAAAACTTTTGATTAGATTTAGCATTACGACCTAATGAAATTTTATTCATTTATTTTGTTACAATATAGAGAGTTTCACATTGTGATTTCATCAACTGACTTAGTTTGTAAATCAAGCAGAGCAATTTTAGAAAATACATATAGATCGCTAAATAAATTGAATCTAAATGAAAGGTTTAGCAGTATTGTAACTAAAAATTGCATATATATAGGTGGTCTGCAATCCCATTCCAACTAATAATTAACTAATAATTAGATATGATTAGTGTAATACCAATTATTGATAATAAAATATTCTGACTGATTAAAATATAAAATGGAAACTTTATACAGTTTTAAGTAAAACGCAACACATTAAAAATTAAGAAAATGATCTATGTTATAAACACAAAATTCAGAATTTGTTAACATATGCATTAGGTATATTATAGCTCCACTTCGGACAACCCTATAAAAAGGATTGTGTGAAATTTGTACATATAATATTCGTGCTGAATAGACAGAATGACATTTTTTTCACACATTTTTAAAAAAATATACAAATATATATATATTATACAATCCTTTTTATTTATGTCATGAGAATCAAAAAATTAAACATCATTATGTCATGAAAATCAAAAATTGTACATCATGATGTCATGAGAATCAAAAATTGTACGTATATCATTATGTCATAAGGTTACTATACTGAATCAAAACCAAGATTTGTATACGAACGATACATTCGTTCCTATATAATATCAACACATTCAATATTAAATTTTGTTGAATACTTACCCAAAATATTGGTGTGTTAGTTTGTACGAAGACTACAAAGAAATACAAAAAAGGCACCAAATATCAATTGGACTTTACAATAAATATATTACATAAACAAATGCTAATATTAAAAAAGTCAAATATTAAAAAATCAAGATTTTAATATTTGAGGGGATTCAATAGAAAGGGACAAATTTTTTCTAAGTAAAAGTTTTCTTAACTTTAAGCATTTCAACAACTATCTAATCAAATTTAATAATTTTTTTTTATTTTAATTCTATAAAGTTCTAAGATTAAAATAAATTTTTATCAAATTTGATTAGATAGTGTTGAGATATTTTAATTTAAAAATTAAAAAAATTTACTAAAACTGATTTGTCTTTGTTCTACTAACTTTCTCATTTTTCGAAAATGAATTACAAAAGTTTTTTAATACACCCATTTCTTTTAAATGCTTGAGAACTCAATTTGTAAAAGATCTGCTAACATCTAAGTCTTAACAATTTTTTGAACTAATAAGCCTTCTAAAGTTTATTTTTCATTTGCAAACGAAGATGCTTTAAAAGTAGATATGTATATGTAGCCTTATAATATTCCTTATAAAAAAAATCCTTTGAAATTATTCTGAAATTATACAATTTTTTGTTTGGCAAATTGACTCCATATTGAATATTTACAGGATGTTTATTAGATATTAAACCTTTTTTATATAATAAGCTTAAAAGAGAAATAATTCTAACCTGGTCCACAAAGGTGCAGGCTGAGGGTCGACCTGCTTATTAGCCCAGCTATTAGGCTGGAGTTGATCTGTATCACTAAAAAATACTAATATATTATTTTGCAAACTGTGATAAAAATAATTAACAAAATTATTAGCTTAGAAAGAGATATAACAAAATAAATATTCAGTAAAATAAACTATTTATTTTTAAATAATAATCTATAATTTAATATCTATATAAAAAATTCCAAATAAGAGATTCAATTAAAAAATGCCTATTCTTATAACCTTCAACTAATTTGTTACAATTTATTTAAATTTTATTTTATTTTATTTTGTTGTTAATTATATATAATCTGTTTATTATTATATATTAGAGTTTTTCAAAATCAAATCAAATCAAATATTAAGTATATACTGTAAATCACCAAAAATAAGCATTCTCTTTTAATATATAGATAGAGTATGTTTATTTTTGATAAAAATTTTTACTAAAAATTTTCAAAAATATCTGATCATATATATTTTAGTATAGTGGGCTTGTATTCTGGTTAGCTAATTTTTGTAGATCATTTTGTAATTTTACAAGATCTGATTGGCTAATCGACTTATATTAAAATGAACTCAAAATAAAATATTTCACAAAATATAATAGTATTAATTGAATAAAAGATATATTTATCTAAACTTTATTAATTATAATAACTTATTATTTTGGTTTAAGAGTTATTGTTATATATATAATTTGATTAGATTTTTTTAAAAAATATTAATATCTGAACTCTCTCTGATGATCACTCGTACCAAACTTATGACTAATGAAAACAGAAACTTGTTGAAGAAAAAGTAGAAGAGACAACTATACAAGTAACAGTTTTTACAGAGATCAAGGGCTATCTAGCTCTTCTTTTCCTTCTAGACTCCTTTGTATATTTGGCAAGCAAGTTAAAAGTGTTCTTGTACAAGATAACTGGCAGAAGGTGGTGCCTTTGTACAGAAAATTTTAATAGAAGTATAGCTTTTGCTGATGAAGTAAAAGTAATGTTAGTCTAGAAGAACAGCAAGCGAGTTTTCAATACACTTCTTATCAAAGTTTAAGGCTATCTGCTAACCAAAACCCTCTACAACACACCACTCTTTGTATTTCACGAAATTTCACCAAAAAGTGAAAAAAATGGCATACCCCATCAAAGGATCAACCTAAGGATCATTGCTGAAAAAGAAAAGTCATATACAGAAATACATGTCTGCTTTGGGATAAATAATATATGATTGTAACCTAAAATAGAAAGTACGTGAATATGTTGCAAAAGTCTTATGGAGCTACGCAATTAGAAATTTCAAACTTGGATTTTTACTCAAGAATGGATATTCGGATTAATTCTTACATCCTAGATATAGATATAAATAACTCATATAGAGGTTAAATTAGTTTATTTAGTAGTACTATATAATGTTTTTAGTCTAGTACAGGCTTAATAGTACTATCTTTGTTTTCTTTTCTTTTGTTTTTGTTTCTTTGATTTGTTTTGGTTTTATTTGTTTTAAGTGAATTGGTTTTGTTGCTGAGTTTATTCCCTATTTTTATTACTTTTGATTTAGTGTTTGTATTTCTATACTAATAAGAAAAACCAATATTGATGCTTATAGCTTATAGTCACCAGCCAAGGATTAAAGAGAAAAAATTTCTTAGGTAGTTTCAGATCTGGATTGAGGCCAATGACTGCTAAGGCAGGCCACATTGGGCATAAGCTTGGTGAGCTATTTGTACAGAGATCTTGTAGCTAGGAAAGAAATTTTTGTAAT